CACACCTCTGGCAACCAGTGTGACATTACTGGTTGCCAAGACCTGGGTGTGAGGCTGGCCAGAGCATCCCAAGTTGCTTAGAGCTGGGCAGAGAGATGAGTATGGCCCTTACATATCTCCCTGCCCCAACTCTTAGCAACCTGGGACACTCTGGCACGAAAGGGGGCGGCAGGCACACTACAAGCACGGTGGAGCAGGGCAGCCATTCCGCTCTGCCTGCTGCCCCCCTCACGTGACTCTTAGAGATGCTGCCTGAGGCAACACGTCAGAATGCCTCATTATAGGGATGGTCCTGGGTACAGACGAAAGGTTAGGAAGGAGCACGGAGAGGATGAGAAGCAAAATAATAGGAGAGAAATAGAAGAGTAAAGAAAATTGAGGGGTGGGGGGGAATAAAGAAACAAAGAGAGAAGAGCCCTAGATGCTACCAGGAGATGAAGGGAACCAAAACAAGACTATCCTAAGAGCGATGGGTACAGGTGAAATGTTAGGAAGGAAAACGGGTAAGATGAGAAGCAGATAGTAATAATAGAAAATAAAAGAGGAAAACAGGAGGAATGGGAAGGGGAAGAGGGGCAAGATAAGAGGACCCCAGAGGCTGACAGTAGAAGAAAGTACCTTGGGAGCTTGGTAAGAGCCTGCAAGTGTTATGTGGACAAGAGTTAAGCTGGCCACAAACTGGTCGAATTTTGTCTGATTCGGCAAAATCCAATCAATGTGTGGCCCGTTTTCCTATGGTACAAAAAACGGGACCACGCACATGCGCAGTAGACCTGGATACCTTACAAGTGGTATCAGCTGAGAGTATTGAATCATTCAAAAAGCATTTAGATACCTTCCTCAGAGACCACAACATACAAGGGTACAGGTACACTTAAAAACAAGGACAGGGACTCGTGTACACACGCATACACATTCACACACAGACACACAAAGGTTGAACTTGATGGACCTGTGTCTTTATTGAACCTCAAATAGTGCTTTCTGTAGAAAATGAATCTCCACCAAGATATCTCCCATTTCTGTTGGTTGTGCGCTATTGTTAACATCGTGTTCAGTTCTCGGTCATGAAATCCCTCAATGGAGAACCTTCTCAAAGTATTGCCCTGTTCACATCCAGTCTAAATTCCCTCTTTGCTGCGTATTTTCAAGTACCCCTGACAAAAGAAGAGCAGTTCCCGCTCACCTTTGACTCTACGTGGAGTTAGCCCTCGTTCACACCTGACCGTTTTGTAGCGCGTTCTACGCTCGACGAACGCTCTACAAAACGGTCAAAAATATAAATTGCATTGTAGTCAATGGTCTCGTTCCCACCTTGCCGTATTTCCGCCCGTCCCTAACGCCCTACAAAACGGCCCACGCCTGAATAGGTCCAGGTACTACTTTGGGCCGTTTTGTAGGGCGTTTTCCATTGGGATACAGCCAAGTAGCCTTCGGAATCGCTCGACGGTCGCGCAACTTTTTTACAGCGAATCGCGGTAAAAAAACGCGCGACAGACGCGCATATGCAATACGCCTAGGTGTGAACGAGGGTTTAGTCTTCCACTCCACGTCAGCAGAACATTGCTTCGGCTGGGTCTAAATAAATACGCATATAAAGAAAAAAACATAATAAACACTCAAAAGCACCTGCCTGACCTCACCCTAGAGCAAGTATAAATATTTAATAAGTCAAAGATAAATAAAGTTTATATCAGGAAAATATGTTTGCCTTGTTTTGGCAGTTAGCCCAAAAAAACACAATAGTCAAACCCTACAAAATGCTATAATATTCGGTTTGGCAAAAAGCCTGACGATTGTTGCCATGGAAACAGAAACTAAATAACTCGCCGATTAGATCAGGTGTTCACAGGGGAGGGGAGGGATACCACCAGCTGCAGTGTGCAGAATACAAAACATGCATACAATATGTTCAATCTAAGCGTGATCGCCGCACATGAAAGCAAATGTTTGTGCTGCTTATGGCAACCAACCAGTCCTTCAGACTTCCGTTATGGAACTGCAAGAAGTTATTAATGGACTACAAGTGTGGTGAGCTCATAAGGACCTTCTGTTACGGTAATGGAGGAAGTTATCAATGGACTACATGTGCGGTAACCTCATATGGACCTTCCGTTATGGGACCAAATTAAGTTGTCAATGGACTACAAGTGTGGTGACCTCATACGGACCTTCCGCTACGGGACTGGAGGAAGTTATCAACGGACTACATGTGCGGTGACGTCTTCTAGATGCAGTACTTACCTTACCCCCCTGCTCTGGCAGGCTCCAGCACTCTCCTCGACACTCCAGGCTGTGGGAGGTCCTTCAGGTGTCATCATGTTCAATGTGGGGCTACTGGAGGAGGTGGCGAGTGGAGGAGGCGAGTGTGCAACCATGACTAGGAGCCTTAGAGAGTAAGCTTTGTGGAAGCAATCACATGGATGTAGGAGGAGGCCTGCCGAAGCCAGGAATACACTAAGTATTACTCCCTGCATCCATTAAATTAACAAGCAGTTAACCCTTGCAGTAGGGGGGACCCACTTAAAGGGTCTTTTTTTTTGTCTTGCGCCCGGAGTTGGGCTTTAAAAACTAAACAAAAGCACTGTTATCATTAAGCAGCAGATAAATAGTCACTGTGTAGCTTGTTGGATATACATATACCCTTATGATCCTTTTCCCCCCCATATTTCCAATAATAAATAGGTCAGGGGAAACAAAAGCTTGTCCTGATGTATTAAACTATAATCTGACTCTCGCTGCTGCCACCTAAAGGACATTCCCGGCCCTACAGGCAGCAGGACTGGGCAATTGCAGGGAAATCTGCTGAGTGACAGCTTTCATCTCTGATTCATATAAGGTAAAATAGAAGAACTTCTCTGACAGCTGCTCTAATCCGTTTATGAGGAAGCCTACAGTTCTCCACATTCATTGCTAATACAATTTTGGGAAGAAGATCCGGCATAATAAAGAGCTCCCTGTATTGTAAGGAAATATAACAGGATTATTATCCGCTGTAATTCCTCTGGCTGAGGGGGGATCTTTTTATTTCTCTGCTGCTTACTGAACCACAATGACTTTTTGTTCCCCTTTAAGGCTGAGGATTACAGTTGTCTATTCAGGAATCCCGCGCGCTCGGTGGTGGAACGTGTCTTCGTTAATCCAACACTGATTTCAGCTTTTAATTTGAACTCTAAATACAAATTTAAGGAGAGGGTTTTATATCAGGAATGGCAACGTTCAAAGAGGACCTGTTACATTTTAGGTGTAGTTACCTGCACCGGAAATCACAATTAAACTCCGAGCACAAAAATTTTCATTGAAATATATTCCGCAATAGGTACAAAGTAGGGATGCAACGACACCGTTTTTTTTGGTATCAAGTACAAGTACCGATATTTTTTTCTGGTACTCGCCGATACCGAATACCAATACTGAAAGTCCCATTAAGGAAGCAAGGCGGCGTGTAAAGACTCGCCACCCGGCTTCCCGATTAGCAGGGAAGCCGTCTCCATGGTGACGTGGGAGCATGGAGCCGGCTTTCTGGCCAATCAAAAAGCCGGGGGGAGTGTAATGACTCTCTGCCCGGCTTCCTGATACTGGAAGTATTGGGCTAGGCATCGGAGCATTTGGGCGAGTACGAGCAGTGGCGTTACAAGGGAGGTGCGTCCCGCACCCGGGTGACACCATTGGAGGGGCGACACCAAAATGTATACCTTATACCGCCGGGTGACTGTCCCCTCCTCTCTCTGCCGGCGTCCATCACCAAGATGGCCGCCGGCAGGTATCAGAAGATTGGCGCACGATGACGTCATTGCGCACGCGCCTGGTGAATCACATGTGCACCAAGTGTCTTTGCAAACACAGATATTACCTTGTAATAGTAGCAGTGACATCATCACTGTGCTGCACTTAGCCTGTACAGAGAGCAGAGCTGTGGGAGGGGTCCAGAAGGTGTGTGGAAGAGGTAATCAATCCTGTAGAAGCTGCATCACAGAGCTTATAGAGGGTTTGACTACTACCTCTATTACTACTACTACTACTATTAATACTTATTGACCTTAAGTTAATTAAGG